AGTAAGGAGGTTACCCTTGAACCTTTGGTAACCATGAGTCTAAAACCTGCAATGACAATAAGTACATACCTATCAATAACCACCTTAAATGTAAATGGTCTGAATGCACCAATCAAAAGACACAGAGTAATAGAATGGATAAAAAAACAAGACCCATCTATATGCTGCCTACAAGAGACTCACTTCAAACCCAAAGACATGCACAGACTAAAAGTGAAGGGATGGAAAAAGATATTTCATGCAACTAATAAGGAGAAAAAAGCAGGAGTTGTAGTATTTGTATCAGACAAAATAGACTTGAAAATAAAGGAAATTACAAGAGACAATGAAAGACAATATATTATGATAAAGGGGTCAGTCCAACAAGAGGATATAACCATTATAAATATCTATGCACCCAACACAGGATCACCTACATATGTAAAACAAATATAACAGAATTAAAGGAGGAAATAGAATTCAATGCATTCATTTTAGGAGACCTCAACACCCCACTCACTCCAAAGGACCAGATCAACCAGACAGAAAATAAGTAAGGAGACAGAGGCACTAAACAACACATTAGAACAGATGGACCTAAGAGACATCTACAGAACTCTCCACCCAAAAGCAGCAGGATATACATGGAACGTACATGGAACATTTCCAAGAGTAGATCAGATACTAGGCCACAAAAAGAGCCTCAGTAAAGTCAAAAAGACTGAAATTGTACCAACCAGCTTCTCAGACTATGAAGGTATGAAACTAGAAACAAATTACGCAAAGAAAACAAAAAATCCCACAAACACATGGAGGCTTAACAACATGCTCCTAAAAAAATCAATGAATCAATGATCAAATAAAAACAGAGATCAAGCAACATATGGAGACAAAAAACAACAGTAATTCTACACCACAAAATCTGTGGCATGCAGCAAAGGCCTGTGCTAACAGGGAAGTATAGTGCAATACAGGCCTACCACAGAAAAGATGAGCATCCCATATGAACAGTATAAACTCACAATTAACAAAACTAGAAAAAAGAAGAACAAATGAGGCTCAAGGTCAGTAGAAGGAGGGATATAATAAAGATTAGGGCATAAATAAATAAAATTGAGAAGAATAAAACAATAGAAAGAATAAATGAAAGCAGGAGCTGGTTCTCCGATAAAATAAACAAAATAGATAAATCCCTAGCCAGACTCTTCAGAAAAAAGTGTCTACACACATAAACAGAATCAGAAATGAGAAAGGAAGAATCACTACAGACACCACAGAAATACAAAGAATTATTAGAGAATACTATGAAAAATTACATGATAACAAACTGGATAACCTAAAAGAAATGGACAACTTTTTAGAAAAATAAAACCTTCCAAGGCAGACATAGAAAGAAACAGAAAATCTGAACAGACCAATTACCAGCAACAAAATTGAATTAGTAATCAAAAAACTACCTAGAACAAAATCCCTGAACCAGATAGCTTCACCACTGAATTTTATCAAGCATTTAGTAACAGCCTAATACCCATCTTCCTTAAAGTTTTCCAAAAAGGAGAAGAGGAGGGAATACTCCCAAAATTCATTCTATGAGGCCAGCATCACTTTAATACCAAAACCAGTCAAAGACACCACAAAAAAAGAAAATTACAGACCAATATCCCTGATGAACATACATGCAAAAATACTCAACAAAATATTAGCAAAGCAAATTCAAAAATACATCAAAAAGATCATCCATCATTTTCGAGTAAGATTTATTCCAGGGATGCAAGAATGGTACAATATTAGAAAATCCATCAACATCATCCACCACATCAACAAAAAGGACAAAAACCACATGATAATCTCCATAGATGCTGAAAAAGCATTCAACAAAATTCAACATCCATTCATGATAAAAAACTCTCAACAAAATGGGTATAGAGGGCAAGTACCTCAACATAATAAAGGCCATATATGACAAACCCACAGCCAACATCATACTTAACAGGGAGAAGCTGAAACCCTTTCCTTTAAGATCTGGCGAAACTGTTGGCAAAACTGGGCAGCTACATGCAAGAGAAAGACAAGGATGCCCACTCTCTCCACTTTTATTCAACATAGTTCTGGAGGTTCTTGCCACAGCAATCAGACAACACAAAGAAATAAAAGGCATCCAGATTGGTGAAGCAGAAGTTAAACTGTCACTGTTTGCAGATGACATGATATTGTACCTAAAAAACCCTAAAGAATCCACTCCAAAACTACTACATCTAATATCTGAATTTAGTAAAGTTGCAGGATACAAAATTAAAACACAGAAATCTGTTGCATTCCTATACACTAATGATGAACTAGCAGAAAGAGAAATCAGGAAAACAATTCCATTCACAATTGCATCAAAAAGAATAAAATACCTAGGAATAAATGTAATGAAGGAAGTGAAAGACCTATACTCCAAAAATTACAGACACTCATGAGAGAAATTAAAGAAGATACAAATAAATGGAAACACATCCCATGCTCACTGATAGGAAGAATTAATATTGTCAAAATGGCCATCTTGCCTAAAGCAATCTACAGATTCAGTGCAATCCCTATCAAAATACCAACAGCATTCTTCAAAGAACTAGAGTAAATAGTTCTAAAATTCATATGGAACCACAAAGGATCCCAAACAGCTAAAGCAATCCTGAGAAAGAAGAACAAAGCTGGGGGGGATAACGCTCCCTGACTTCAAGCTCTACTACAAAGCCACAGTAATCAAGTCAATTTGGTACTGTCACAAGAGCAGAACCATAGACCAATGGAACAGACTAGAGAGCCCAGATACAAACCAAAGCATATATGGTCAATTAAGATATGATAAAGGAGTCATGGACATACAATGGGGAAATGGCAGCCTCTTCAACAACTGGTGTTGGCAAAACTGGACAGCTATATGCAAGAGAATGAAACAGGATTACTGTCTAACCCCATACACAAAAGAAAACTTGGAATGGATCAAAGACCTGAATGTAAGGCATTAAACCATAAAGCTCTTGGAAGACAACATAGGCAAAAATCTCCTGACTATAAACATGAGCAAATTTTTCCTGAACGCATCTCCTCAGGCAAGGGAAACAAAAGCAAAAATGAACACATGGGACTACATCAAGCTAAAAAGCTTCTGTACAGCAAACGACACCATCAGCAGAACAAAAAGGCATCCTACAGTATGGGAGAATATATTTGTAAATAACATATCTGACAAGGGGTTAACATCCAAAATATATAAAGAACTCACATGCCTCAACAACCAAAAAGCACATAACCCAATTAAAAAATGGGCGGAGGATATGAGCAGACAATTCTCCAAAGAAGAAATTCAGATGGCCAACAGGCACATGAAAAGATGCTCCACATCGCTAATTATGAGGGAAATGCAAATTAAAACCACAATGAGATACCACCTCACACCAGTTAGGATGGCCAGCATCGAAAAGGCTAAGAACAACAAATGCTGGCTAGGATGTGGAGAAAGGGGAACCCTCCTACACTGCTGGTGGGAATGTAAGCCAGTTCAACCATTGTGGAAAGCAATATGGAGGTTCCTCAAAAAACTCAAAATAGAAATACCATTTGACCCCGGAATCCCACTCCTAGGAATTTACCCAAAGAATACAAGTTCTCAGATTGAAAAAGACATATGCACCCCTATATTTATTGCAGCACTATTTACAATAGCCAAACTATGGAAGCAACCTAAGTGTCCATCAGTAGATGAATAGATAAAGAAGATGTGGTACATATACACAATGGAATACTATTCAGTCATTAGAGAGAAACAAATCCTACCATTTGCAACAACATGGATGGAGCTGGAGGACATTATGCTCAGTGAAAAAAGTCAGGTGGAGAAGGACAAGTACCAAATGATTTCCCTCATTTGTGGAGCATAACAACAAAGCAAAACTGAAGGAACAAAACAGCAGCAGACTCACAGACTCCAAGGAGGGACTAGAGGTTACCAAAGGGGAGGGGTGGGGAAGGGTGGGTGGGGAGGGAGGAAGAGGGGATTGAGGGGCATAATGATTGGCACACATGGTGTGGGGGGATCACGGGAAGAACAGTGTAGCACAGAGAAGGCAAATAGGGACTCTGTGGCATCTTACTACACTGATGGACAATGACTGCAATGGGGTACGGGGGGGACTCGATAATATGGGTGAATGTAGTAACCACATTGTTTTTCATGTGAAACCTTCATAATAATGTATATCAATAATACCTTGATAAAAGAAATTTTTTTTTAAACTAGAAGCAGGTTCCACCGGGACCCTGTGCCTTTGCCAGCTGGCTTTTCCATCAAGCCACAGAGGCGGTATCCTCCCCCCTGTGGGTCCTGCCCTCAGTGAACCAGAGGGACCACACTCTCCAACTCATAATTCCAAGATGTCTGGACACCCAAGAACCACAAAAATGGCTCCTTCAGGGCAAAAACATGCTCTCCTGCATCCACTACCTGAGCAGGTAGTCAAGGCTAAGAAGCCAGTGCCAGCTAGTGACCTCCCACTTTCTCGCCCAGAAGCGAAGGTCCCAAAAGGGCCCAGAAAGGGGACGACGGAGGAGGAGGATCACGCAGAGACCAAAGGGCAGCATGGTGAGAACAGGGGCTCCTACGGCAGTGGGGGTCCATCATCAACAACATCTAGGCCCCCAGAGATCAGCAGAGTTCTCACTTCCCCAGAGTGCAGTCCCGGGCCTCTGGACCATCCTAGGCTTCCAGCAGATGGCTCGAGAGAGACCACCCAGACGAGCTCCTCCTCTGCAGAGCACATGGGCACCACTAACAGCCTGTCTGGAGCTGTCCTGCCTCCTCAGAAGTTTGATCCAGAGGCAGCAGTGCCCTCTGACCCCACCCCGTGCTGCTCCCGGCTGCCAGGGAGGTCAGCAGAGGAAGTGCCGGGTGAAGGTCATCAGCAGAGCCCCGCAGTCTCACCAGCGTCTGAGAAGAAGATACAGGGCACAGAGCCACCCGACACCCCGAGGAACTCCTCATGGGGCCTGCCCACTGGAGGCCCTGCAAAAGGAAAATACCCATGCCTCTGACGCTGCCATTACCAAGGCCGCTACCAGCGCTGTGGGTCAGTGAGCTGCCCCCTCCTCCTAACCCTCCTCGCTTAGCTACTGCTGGAGGCCCGGGCACCACGGAGAACAGCTCTGCCTGTCGAGAAACAAGAACTCAGAGGATAAAACGGAGGTCATGGCTGAGGGCAGTGCCCCCCAGCCGGCCCCTTGCTTCTCCCCACCTGCCCCGGAGACTGCAGGCTCCCTGCCCTCGACCAGTCCCACCTCAGAGGTCCCTGCTACCACCGCCAACTTGGATGGCCTGACTGCCAGGCCCCTGATCCCACCTGTACCCACCCCCACCTTCCTCCAAACCCGATACTGATCAGGAAACAAGAAACATGGCCCCTAACTCTCCTCCTCCCCCTGTTCCTGCTGCTGCTCCTCCTCCTCTCAGTCCCAATCCTGTGGTGGGAATTCCACCCAAGGGGAATGCAGGCCCTTGTCAGGCGGTCACAGCTACAGCACCTCGTATTTCTGACCTCCCCACACCTCCCAGCACCTCAACCACCTCCTCCCAGCAGCCTTCCTGGGTAAGGGACTCCCCATCGCCTATGTGTACAGATTCTCCCCATCCTTGTTTCTTACCCATTCCTGTTCCAGGGCCTTCCCTCAGTAACCCTGTTCTCGGTATCCCCACAGTCACCCCCACTGCAGGCCCTCCCACCATTGCCGTCCAGGCACCTGCAGGCTTGCCCCCCCACCTACTTCAGATCCTGATGTGGACGTGGACATGACTCCCCCTTCCCATGCTGGCATCTTCACTTCCTCCCAGCCGTCCACGGGGAGATTGCTTCCATTTCCCCAAATCAGCTGCAGGGTAGACCAGAGGCACCGTGCAAAGGGACCAGTCTCCACCAACCCACCTTTATTGATCCCCAGCCACACCCCCAATTTTACCCACCCCATTGGCCCCCAAACCACCCCTCAGCCGACCACTGGAATTCCTAACAGGCAGCCCCAAAAGGCCCCTCTACCCAGGGCTCCTGGTTCATCCTCATGGCATCTTCAGTCCCACACAATGCTTTGGGCAGCACAATTGCAAACTTCAACCCTACTTTTGATGACAGTGCTATGGATACAACACTGCCTTCCCAGGCTGTCATTTTCCAGTCTCCCCTGTCTCCAGGAATAATCATTTCCCAGTTTACATGGCATCTCCTGGATCTCAGAACAAACCACGCAATGACAGTACGGCCTCAGCCCGCATCTCTACCTCTTTATATTCCAAAGCAGGCAGCAGACAAATTGCAGTTTCCACCCATCTCTTTAACCCAGCAATCCCTGTTCCCAGCACTTCTCAAAACTGTGGTAGGCAGCAGCCTAAACACTTGTACCTACTGGGAAAACAGACAGCCCCATGCTCTCCTGCTGCCCAGTCACCCAGCGGCCACAGAATGCAATCAGACTTCACAGGTTTCACATGGCCAGTCTTGGCATTTGGCACCACTGTGGACATCCTGCCAGCCTCTGGTATGCCCAGCAGCACAACCACCACCATTGGGTTTAGAGGTGATACCAGGATGCCCAGTAGTGGGAACAGGAGTTCACTACTTACAGGTGCCACACCAGGCCCACCTATGTGGGCAGCTCCTGCAGCCCCCAGGGGTGGAGGGAGACCTGGGCTCAGTATATCTGCCCAAGGCCCCACTCATTCACAGGCATCCCAATACACAACCACACATCATCCAGGAAGAGGGCACATAGCCCCACTTCTGTTCCTCCTGGTGGCCAGATAACCTGGGCTCTTTATGGCCACAGCACAGCTGTTTTGGGATAACAGGCAAGCACCTCAATGGTAGGACACCCTATGAACACCACCTTAAGTCTGAGCATGTGGAGCTTACCTGTCCTAAACAAAGATGGTGCAGCAATGGAAGGCCACCCCACTGTCCCCATGATGGGAGGCCCCAGTGTCCCCACACTCCATCAGCAGGCCTGGAGCCTGCCTGGACGTATAAGACCTCCTACATGTGGAGGAACCGCCATTGTGGAAAAGAAATGTGTGTCAAGACACCCGTCTGTTAACACCTTCCATCAGGGCAGCTGGGGTTCTCCTGGGCATACTACAGCCACTGCAGCTCCGAGTGCCAGCACTATCCCTACATCTAATTATCCACTTCTAGCTCCACCATCATCCCAAGTACCTGGGGCACACCAGCACAAAAAGCAGGTAGTACGAAGGTAGGGCACCACATCATTCCCGTGATTGAAGGATCTGGTGTTCCTATATTCCATCAGTACAGCTGGGGGCCACTGGACCAAAACACAGGTGACACAGTTGAAGGAAAACATCTCACCTGTAATAGGAGGCCCCTGTGTCACCACCTGCCATTACATCACTTGGAGCCCACCTATCCAGGGCACAGGTGGAGGTGTGGGCAATAGCACCACACCTGCTATGACTGGATGTCCTCACACACCCCATCAATGCAGGGTACCTGGGGCCCTGCTAGCCAACAAAACACAGGTGATGCGACAGGGGACAGTACCATCATTTTTAGAAACTAGTCTATTCTCAGCCCAAACACCTGCCCGCCATCATCCCGGCAGGGCAGCCCTGTGACTCTGCAGGAGCCAGCAGCGTGCGTGGAGGCTCCTGATCAAACAGCCACTCCTGTGCTCTGGACACAGCAAGCTGTACTGATCACAGCTTCACAGGAACCATCCATCACTTGATTCCATCCTTCGATCATGATTCTCAACAAATATGGAAAAGATGTTTGTCTGCAATCTGTATGTAGCATGAATGGTCTTAACTTTATGGGAAACTTGACCACCTGCTCTCTACCTACAGAAAGCCAGGGGCCTGCACCTCAGAAGTGTGTATGTTGTAAGGACCGTTTTCTCTAGTCTTGAAACTACTAAGGTGTCTATGGCTGTTTATAGGGGCTTCATTTCCTCCTCTCCATTTAACAAAATGGGCCCCTATCTTTCCCAGATTATGTATATATGTTATATATTCACATTAAACCTTGTTCTTATTAAAAAAATATATATAATAATAATGATGGTGATGTCGATGCTACAGTTGAATAGATGAATGTTGAATAACTATGCATGGGAAGAAAAACCTACTGGAATCAACCTGAAGCCATTTAAATGTATATATCTGGGTATAGAATTTGCAAAATACATTTTCATTTCTTGAAAAAAAAAAAACAACAGAGCATCGTGCTTCCAACCAGACCCTGTTTGGGAAAGCCAGCTTTATGACACTAAGGCTTTGGGGTTCTAATCTAAATGGTGATTCCACCTTCCCTGATTGGACCTTGAAGATCATTGTGGCAGGAGAACAAGAAAAGTGTAGGCTTTGTGCTGGCAGTGAGCAGGAACCGAGGGGATGGGGAAGAAGGACTGACAGGAAGGACACTGACTGGGGCCCTTCACCCAAGGGAACGTCCCACAAGATGGTCTAAGAGAGATGGGGCAGGGAGATGCCAGAGGAAAGACAGCCACGGGCACAGAGGATCTCGCCAGCCGACCACTTGGTGTTGGGGGTCACTTGTACACCTCTCATGGCGCCCACTTACGGTGGTCCAGCTACGGTGTGAGTGCCACAGGGCCCTGCCTGAGCCTCAGATCTTAGGACTTGTGGACTGGCACAGCTGCAGAGGCGCTCCTGGGGCCCACTGAACATAAAGAACATTCCCAACAGGGCAGAGGGCAGCACGGACTGGACAAGGTAAAGAAAGAACAACAGCTGGGGGCACTTCTGGTTGGGCGGCAGAGTGAGCCTGCGGTGTGAGCAGGGCTCCTCCAATTACACCTTGGAGAACAGGGCAGCCTGGAGGAACATGGCCGGGAGCTCATCCCAGGGAGTGGGACTGGGGGTGCTCCACAGCCAGGCAGAGTGGAGAGGAAAAAGGGAGGAGGGCTTGTTCTAGGCCAGTGGGAGCCCAGCCAAGGTGACAGGGGTGCTAGCAGGCACGAGGAAGAATTGCATGACAGCCAGCAGAGCACAGGCAGGAGAGTCTCTGGGGCCACCAGGCACCCCGGGGCTCAAGGACAGAAGCTGGGGACTGGGCAAGCCTGGTGCCTAGGCATTTGACTGCTCTCTGGGCAATGTTCTCTTGTGCCCACCACTGCCTGCGACAGAGGTGGTGCCATTCAAATGCTAAATTAGGTCCAGGAGTTCACCATTCAGATGCTGCATTCCTATCAGGTGTACCTAGAGCCAGAGCTATCAGTTCACACAAGGCTGGCAGTGAGGTGAAGAGTGGCCTCCCAAAGATGTCCTCCTCCTAATACCTGGAACCTGTGAACATGCTGCTTACATGGCAAGAGGAACTTTGCAGATGTGATTAAGATTAGGGAACTGAAATGGGGAATTACCCTGGATTATCCGGTGGGCAGGAGGGTCAGAGTCAGAGGAGGTGTGACCACAGAGGCAGAGGTCAGAGTGCTGCAAGGTCACTGGCCAAGGAAGCCTCTAGAAGCTGGGAGAGACAAGGAACGGGTTCTCCTCCAGGCCTCTCCCAGAGGGAATGCAGCCCTGCCAATACATTGATTTTAGTCCAGCAAAACTGACTTTGGACATCTGACCTCAAGAACTATAAAATAATATATTTGTGTCATGTTAAGCCACTACATTTGTGGTTATTTGTTATAGCAACTATAGGAAACTGATACACAGCAGTTAAAAGCAAAAGCCCTAGAAAGGCAGCACATAGAGATCTTAAACTCCAGTTACTGCTAATCCTGGGCATGGGGAGACAGGGGACACTCGATAGTGTTAGATAATAATTTACAGAGAGCGGCATGAACTTCCAAGTAACAGGAGGACTTCCAGGAACCACTCACCTCGTCAGGCATTTGTTCCCGCTTCCAAAATGCATTGAGTACTTAGCATTTACCAAACTTTGCATTCTGTCCCGGACATATCCTATCTCATTTAATGCTCAGAACACCTCTGTGGTGCAGGAACACTTGGTGTTATCGTTTACAGATGCCGAAACTGACTCTCAGGTAGGATGGGTTATGCACCAAAGCCAGGGAGCTGGGATTCGAGCCTACATGACTGCAAAGCCTGAGCTCCGAACCACTGTTTGATGCTGCCATGAAAAGGAAAGAGCACTAACTCCACCACCTCCCACCACAGCAGGAGCAGGCAGTCCTGAAAGAATGGGGGCAGAGAACATGTATTCCATGCTGCCCTCCAGAATTTACTACCTAAGGATATTTATAAAGCAGCAAGTAGGCAAAGAAAGGGCTGCTATTCTAGAACTACAAACCAGGAACTCCGGACAACCCAGACAACAATTTCTCTGGGCTTTGAAGACTAACCTCAAAGATCTAAATGTCCAAGAATATGAAGGATTGATTGACTAGGTCATGGTTCATCGATACAAACAAGTACTAGGCAGTTTTTTTAAATGATGACTTCGGATGATGTAGATCTGTATTTATTGACATGGAGAGATGTTCCTAATACATCAGTTAGTCTAAAAAGCAAGTCACTGAACTGTATACTCAGCACGAACACATCTATACTGAGAGAAAAAGTCTGGACATATGTGTACAAAAAGCATTAATAGAGATTGTCTCTGAGACATAAAATACAGGTGATTTAGGTTTTTCTTCCTGCTTATCTTTCTTGTAAATATTCCACAGTAAAAAGAAATTGCTGGGATAATGTTTAAAGGTGGGGAAACTGAACTTTTGTAATTGCAGGCAAGAAAGTACAATGATGACCACATGATCTTGCTTATTTGTGGAATCTAAGAACAAAACAAAACAGATTGAACAAAACAGCTGTAGACTCAGAGACACCGAGGAGAGACTGGTGGTTACCACGGGGGAGGGGTTGGAGTGGGAGGATGAGGGGCATAAAGGGACACAAAAATCTCAATCATAATATAAAATGGTCCTGGGGATAGAAGTACAGCAAGGAGAATATAGCCAATGATTCTGTGCCATCTTTCTATGTTGACAGATAGTAACTGCATTAGTGGAGGTAAGGATTTATTAATAACTGTTGAACCACCTGTTGTATACTTGAAACCATATAAGATTATGTATTAACTATACTTCAATTAACCATAATATTAATAATAAAAAGAAACAAAAGAATGTGCAATGATGAAAATGTTACAAAGTATCCACTCCCTAGCAGACCAGGTACTGATAAATTTACATAAACTTAATCCTCACTACTACCCAGTAGGGTAAGGACTGCAGTCCCATTGTTTCAGATGTTTTAAATTGAGGTTTAGAGATACTGAGTAATTTGTCCCTAAAGTCACCCAAACTGAGGGCGTCAGATTTAACCCAGATCTGTCCGACTCCAAAACGAACACTCACCTCACCCCATGACTCTGTCATCTTTACCTCCAGTACCATGAGGGTTCCAGGAAGGCGGGATGTGCAGTGAATCTAAGTGGACCAGAAGATGTTAGGGGAAGAAAGGACAGGATTGGGAAAGGCAGGGGTGCCCCATCACTGCTCTGGAAGCAGCCCTTCACCTCTATTGACATCTCAGGTGCAATAATTCTTTGTTGCGGGACGAGGGGGAGCAGCCTGAGCGCTGTAGAATGGCCAGCAGCATCCCTGGCCTTTACCCAGTAGAAGTAGTAGCATCCTCCTAGTAGTGACAACTAAAATGTCTGTTAACATTGCCAAATACCCCCCAGAGAACTGCTACCACCAGAATAACATAGGGTGGCAGAGGTGGGGGGGCAGGTTCCGGGGACATTGCTTGTTATTTACTTTATACATTCATGCTTCAGCTGATCATACTGTTCACTCCACTAATCTGCCCTCCTAATAATCCTTCAGTCTTAAAGTAATCTGAGAAAAAACAGTTCCTTCAGGCATTGTTAAAGACAAAATGTCCTAATTGGTGAGCCCCAAGTGACCTTTGTAGCTATTATCGTGATCTCCAGAAGGGACAGAAAGTCCAGTTGCACCCCTTCACAAATGGTCTCCCAATGGGCTCTTTACCACCCTTTTGGGGGGGTTCATCTACACCCCTGAGATTCCTGAATGTAAAGTTAAAGGAAGCTGCTTTTTCTTGTAAATACCAAGCTGTGCAGTCATTACAAGCTTGCTTGGAGATAATCAGGGCTGACACTTGCTGTACGTGCAGGGTTTATTGGAGACCACCCACAAAGTCGACTCAACACAAAATGACACTACTAAGTAATCTAATCCCAAAATGTAGATTTCATTCCAACAAATTGCACACAAGTGGTCTCCTGCTGGTTTAACTGTTGCCTGGAAAGGCAAATCCAACTTCATCAGTGGCAAGTCTGTTAGCACAGAGCATCCGAACCATAAACAGAATGCAAATGTTGTGTCTGCGGCCCTAAACATTGTCACAGAGAGAAATAACGTTCTTTGACATTGAATTAAAATATTAGATGATGAGGTAGGATACACCACCATTGTCCTAAGTAATTTCTCCTTTGAGTCAAAGACCAAAGATAGAACAAAAAGATAAAGAAATTAAGTATCATTTATTTCCTTTGCATAAAAGACTCTTGCAAACTATTTCCTGTAGGGCTGTATGTTCTGAGATGGACCAAAATTTTAGGGAACCAGCACCCTAACTTTATCCCCACTCCGCAAGTACAGATATGCGATTCCAAAACACATGGTCCCCAACCTCCAGTAGATGGTCATTTTACCCCACACTGCCTCCCCTAGAAGAAATCTGATATATAAAAAATGGATGAGGACTAAGATATTTTTTTTTAAGTCTCAGAGTGTGGAGTTTGACCATGGGTTCAGTTGAGCCAACAATTTGCCAGGGTTGCCTAAAAGGTTGATACTATCTTAGGGTCCATTAGTAGAGTTTATTGCTCAGATGAAAGGTGGTGACAGTCTTAGGGTCAGGTAATCTGACCCCATGTGGAGAACAGGTGATTCCAGATTGGCATTAAGGCAGACATCTGTGCTTGGCTCCTTGGCATCCACTCAACTCTTTAAGGAGTAGCCCACTGCAGTGTGGCACCATCTTTGAGTAGTAAATTCTGACTCAGGTGCCTAATGAGGGAGGGGCAGATCAGATGTCCACCAGCCTGTGCCTGACTCACATCCTTACCAACTCTTGTCCCTCTTCTGTCTCTCCCCATGCCACTGAAAACTGTTAGGCACCCCATGGGTATGCAACAATTGCCTGGTGGATTTGCAGAGAAAATGCTCGAGGCCGTATCTCTATGTTAAGAAGCCAAGGTAGGGAAAATACGAGTATGCTACTTAGATCCGTAATTTTTAAACCGTGGGTCACAACCCATTAATAGTTTGTTAAATCAACTTGTTGAGTCCATAGCCAGTAAATATTTTTTCAGAGAAAAAAAGAGAAATCTTCAAGGTGCCCTCTCCTGCTTTGAAATCCAAGTCTCCCTCTGTTCTGCACTGCACCCCACAGCTGAACAGGGCTGGAGAAAATCCTACGACCAATGTCCACTAGTCTTGATGTAATTCATTTCCATGACCTCACCTGGGTCCTTGTGCTGGCCGCCATCCCACCTCCTTCCCTTGTCCACCCACCCTGTCACCTCCTAGATGGCCATCCTCTTCCCGTGGCCCAGCACTTCCTTTCCCATCCTCACTCTCAGCTGCTAACCTTGCTTCCTACCTCACCGAGAGAAAAGAAGCACCCAGAAAGGAACTGCCACCGTCTCCCACCTCTACCCACACACCAGCATCTGCGCCCCTAGCATCTGCCTCCCGCTTACTATGGACGCACTGCCCTTGCCCCTGGAGAAGTCTAGCCTGGACCCCACCCAAGGACTTGGTTCAAACAGCCCTCCCCTCCCCTACATTATCACAGTTTTCCTTCACTACTGGGTTATTCCCATTGGCATTTACTTCTCCCACCTTAAAATAAAATTAAAAAAACACCTTCTCTCACTCAACTTTTCCTCTAATTACCACCTAATTTCTCTGCTCCTCTGTGTAATAAAACACCTTGTAAGAACTGTCAGTGTTACTCTGCCAAAAATTCTCTTCTCTTTCTCTTTTTCACTCCCTCCAATCAAATGGTGACCCCGTAGCTCCACCCAAATGGCTCTTGTCAAAATCAAGTGACACCTATGTGGCTAAATCCAGTCATCAATGCCCAGTGTTCATCCTACATTTCCCTGGACACGGCTGCTCCCTTTGTCCTCCTGGGAACACTCTGCTCACTTGGTTCTCAGGCCACCACTCTCCCCAGGTGTCTCCCTGCCTCGTGGCCATTCCTGCCCATCCTCCTCCAAGCGCTTCTCCTGTCTCCCCAACCTTCTCATACCAGAGGGCACAGGGCTCAGCATTTGGGTCTCGTCTCCTCCCTATAGGCCCTACTCCCATGAGGACCTCATTGAGTCACAGCAGATCCCCATCACCCACTGATGATCCACAGACATTTATCTCAGAAGCATTCTCCTCGACTCCCTTTCTCTCACACTGAGTCTACCTTCAGACTAAAGCCGGGATCCAAGAGCTTCTCGCCCCCGTCAGCAATACCCCCATACGCCAAGCAACCACCATCTCTCCCCTCGATCGCTGTACCCTGCTCCTTACTGTCTATCCCCAGCAGAGCACTCAAAGTGAGCCTATTAAAACGTATCAGGTCACCTCATGCCCCTGCTCAAAACCCTCCAGTGGCTCCCAGCTCACTCGCCACCACATGAGGACACAGCCTTAACAGGATTCTTCTAAATCTCTAAATTCTTCTGCCCCCTCCTGCATGAGGGCTACAGAGATGCCATTTGTTTGTGGCTCACTGAAATAGATGTTATTGAGATGGACAATCTGTTTATTAGGAACTGCTACAGCCAGCTAATCATTTCATTCATAAACGACTAACTAACCCTCATCCTGGAATCCTTTGGACTAATTCAAGTCAGGTGTGATCCTTTGACCTCCAGGTGAGCATTGGGTATCCAATCTGCCACCCCAGAGCCATCCATCCCTCTGGCTTTAGAGTCCCGATGTTCCGTGATATTCCCTTCCCTGACAAATCTCCAGTCACCCAACTCCATGCAGGTGCACGCCCCCAAATCTGTAGCTGCAGCAGCTCCTGCTGGTAGCAGTGCAGCTGTTTCTTTTCATGAGCCTCTTTTGTGCACTGACATATCTGAAAAAAAAACAGGGGGAGCATATTGAATTTCAGGAGATGAAGCAGCTGGTTTAAGAAAGAGGAAGAAGAAAAAGATGACATGGTCAATGGGACACTTCCTGGGAATATAGTTCCAGAAACCCAGGTCCACAGAGGGTGTTGCACCGTGTTCATCTTGTCCCTGAGATACAGATTAAGAAGATTCTGCTGCTGATAATGCCTGCTTTTCAAATATCCCCTCAAGTCTGGAATGTTGAGACAGCTCAGGAGCTTAGATTCTGAACACTGTCACTCCAGTCTACTCTGATTTCAGGTTCACTTTGCTTGCTTTCTTGTTGCCTTTTTTATTTTTCCAGGTGTGGGAATTGGTTAAGTGGCCACAACATACTCTTACTGAACAACATCAGTGCTGACTGCTTGAGGACTCAGTCAGCCAAATGGGCACTGGGACAAACATGTGACTTTTTGACCTATATGGAGCTATTTGTTTTTTCAAAAGTGTCTAAAACACGTGGGACAGGTATAAAGTTTCCACATAAGCCAACCTCTTTGGTTTGCTCTGATTTACACAAGCTGCTTCCCACAGCTGGGCCAAGAACATCTTTCTAGTCTCATCTTCTGGAGCAGTCCCAAGTTTGCAGATTTCCAAGATGGAATTTTGCCATACCTCAAAAGTGGCAAAATCTAAACCAACACTTCATGGTGCCAGAAAAATAGCAACATAGCCCAGAAAAAAAGCTGCATTTCTATTAAACAAAATTGTTAATATGGTAGAAAAGAGGGGATTGTTTTTTTAATGAGCAAATATACAGGTTTCAGCCAATGAAAGCTTTGAAGCAAATAACTAAAGATAGATTGCCCTCACTGGAGCTGATCATTACAGCAAATGACACTTAAAATCTTTCCCCCACTCGTAACTATAGGAATTAAAATTAAAACAGGTTGCCAGCATGGCATTTGATCTTCTGAGCTCAAAGTACACTTGCTCAAAATTGCAGAGCCCATTTAACACATGTTGGACAATACCTTCTTCTGCCCCAACTAGCCAACCAGAATTTCCAGTGAAAATCCCTAATCTAATGTCTGCTAGCAACAAAAACTGAGTCCTGGCAAAGCTACAGAAAAGGGAGTCCAGTGACCAAATAAAGCAAAGCCCCAAACGCCCAACCTCACTTCTAGTCCCAGAGTCATCTGCCATTCATTCCCTTGTCCAGTTGGCCCAGTTGGTTAACAAGAGCTAACAGGAGGTCAGGGCCTCTGTGGGCCTGTCAGCTCTGCTCCGGTTTTCATTCCAAGACTGCAGACCTCATCTGGCCACATCCGTCTTAAAACCCAAGCTCCTGTTCTCCATGGAGCAACCATCGTATGGAGGGAGGGGGAAAAATTTGCCTTTAATTAAATAGTTCAGAGGTTTTCGCTATTGCTTGGGAGTGTGGCACCATCAGAGAGTAAAAGAAGAGAATGCCATTATGGATTCTAGATTGGTTAAGTAAACTATAGAATGACTACCCCCATTTAAAAGAGGCCCCATTTTTCATATTTTAATGCATGAAGTATGCATTTTGTACCTAACCTTTAGTAATCTTTAATATAATAATAACAAACCCTTGCATGTTTATAGGGCTTTACAATTTATAAAACACTTTCACACATGTTAGTGTTTTTTTAATCCTCTTAGTTGGCAAAGCAGACATTACTGCCCCACCTTACAGATTTAAAAAAAGAAAAGAAACTGAAGCTCAAAGAGATCAAGTAATCTGCCCGAAGTCATGCAATGAAGCAATTAGAGCAGCGCCCAGGTCCCACCCCAGGTGCTCACTCTACTTACAACTTCCTGGGTGGGTAGATTTTGACACCTGCCCCTGGAAAAATACCAAAGAGTTCAAAGTTGCAACTCTGATCCATCTCAAGTGTGCAGATGAAATAGAAGGAGAAGAAATAGGGATTTTTTTTTCCCTCCCTTCTCTGACCTCCACCCCAACCAAGCCCAACTGTGTCCATATGACTATGACCCAAAGAACTAGGCAGTCCACCTCAATGTCCTCCTCACCAGCCATGTTAGTCATTATTAACTAAATCATTCCCACGGCCCATCCTCCCTCACCCCACTCTACATACCCTCCCTTGAGCAGCAGCCCCTGGGAGCAGGGACCGCGTCATACTTCCCTAGTGATGGCTGTCTGTGCCTGGTAGGGCTGCCCAGGGAGAACACGGACCATCTTGCCTCCTCACTGTCCCCATCCACTGGATTCCCAGCAGCTCACACTCCTCTGAGGGAATGTAAGAGATGGGCCCCGGGGCCACGGGGACAAAGGCAGGGGTCTACACCCAAATACAACCTCTAAATTTCAAAACTACCAGTTATTTTCTATCAGAAGGATTTTATAACATGCAATACCCTTTGTTCCTGAAACTAACAGTATATCAAGAGAACAAGTCTTAGACTCCACTCCAGGGGGTAAATTAAAAGAGGTTGCTCATCTCTAAGGCAGTTCCCTGACTTGAACCAGCAGCAGAGCACCTGTTTTGGAACACTGAAACATTACAGGCAGGGCACATAAACGGTAAAGTGGGGTTAGGAAGAATAAGGACTATTAAAGAGGCCATCAATTAAAGTGCGAATGGGAAATCTGCGGCCCCGGCAGGCTCTTCTTTGACCTCTCCGTAACAGACAGTATCCATGGACACAGCACCTTTCCACCCAGCCAGGGATTCTGACTGTCCTAAAGTCCACACTTCAAGTGGCCACTGCCGTTCCTTGGGATTCTCAAGCAAGATGTCACCTACTTGCCATCCTCTGTTTAAGACCCTTTTCTCTGGCTGGAAACCAGGGTTTCACGTGTCAGGCCTAAATCGGGGCGCTTCCTGATTCTCCTCTGACTCCAAGATTCCTATGATATTAGCAACACAATTCTGATTTCCTGGATTCTTGGCCTCAACTCTTGGTTGCTCTCTGTCCCTTCCCCAGGCCCCTACACCCCCCTCAGACACTGACCTCTGACCTGGTGACCTGTCCCCCCTTCTGCCTGGCAGCCTTCCTGTCATTCCTTCCCAACTCAGATTCACCCGTCGGCCGCTGACACTCAGCAGTGAGGAGGTCAAGGTTCCCCTCTGTGCCTGAATCACAGCACATGGTCACTGAAGAACTGAGACAAGCCTGGCAGATGTGGAGAAAATCCAGACTAATAAAGGAGAAAGGGAGAGACTAGCTGATGGTTTCCAAAACCACCCCCTCCGTACGGGGATGACCCAAAGTTTGGATCCCATCTTCATCCCCTCAGAGCAAATGGGAGAGTCCAGTTCGGGCTTTTTCTGCTTTATGGTAAAGTTTCTGCCTTCGAGGTAAGGAGCAGATGTTTCCTAAACTCCCAGGGATTTATCGGCCTTGTTCACACCTTCAGCAGACAGCTCAGTGCAGGTTTAATTTATACGGTTCTGTTTCGCGGGTGGGACAATAACTCTCACTCCATCTTAAGTCACAAAACGGTGGCGTGAGAGAAAGCCAGTGGCCTCTAGCCACCCAGCCCACACCCTCCCTGCTCACGTCCCACGCGCCCCTCCCTTCCGTCACATTTCACATCCTCTCAGAATCCAAATGGTACAGGTGATCTCAGATGGGCAGAGGGCTGCCAAGAGAGGCTCCGTGGCGCCGTGGGGAGACCATCCGTGGCTCACCAGCCACTCGGGCTGCGCCGCCCCCACTTCCCACAGTGCCCGGTGCTGCTCCCTGCCCAGGCTTACCCGGCCGAGGGGCAATCATTCCCGGCTGCTGGCAGCCTAATCCAGCTGCCACGTGGAGAGTTTTGTTATGCCTACTTCACAGTGGGTCGTGTTAAGTCAATACGTATTTCTTAAGTGCCTCGGACAAGCCCAGAAAGAGGGTGGAGCCCTCTGGGGCCTCAGTGACTTCATCTGTGAAATGAAAGGCTTCTCCTCACTGAGTTTCTAAGGTGCCTCCCGCCTCTGAAGTCCTGAGATTCAGGATTCCTCTGTGGGGAAGGGAGGTCCCACCCTGGGGTTGCCAAGTGCCAGCACCACCCCTGACACAGCCCAGGCCCTGCTCCTTCCAAGCCTGTGCTCCTGGGGCCACACGTGGGCAGAGTGACCCCAAATCCAGCTCTGACCCACTCAGAGGCGAGGGAATTTGTGTGTGTCTCACCTCATACCTCCAACACTTCTCCATGGCTGAGTCTCAGCACTGTCCCCACCCCAGCCCCCAGCTCTCTGGGCCACTGTCTAGTGAGTGGGGGAGAGGCAGATGCTTGTCTAGATGGCCTGGAATAAAGTCCAC